TGGCCATGGAAACTGGGCCGGTGGTGCACGCCTGTAATCCCAGTGCTGGGGAGGCTGAGACAGGAGGATCACTACAAGTCGGAACCATGTAGTGAGACCCTGTGCCAAATAAATAAATAAAATTGAAAAGAAAAGTTGCTTAGAAAAATTGAACTAAATGAAAATAGAACATATCAAAATACATGGGACACAGCCAAGATGATGGTAAAAGGTAAATTCATAGTATTATATATGTACATTAGAAAAGACTGAAGTTTAAAATGAATAATCTATAAGTTTTTATCCCAGGAACTTTGAAAAAGAGGAATAAATAATTAAACTCAAGCAGATAGAAGGAAATAATAAAGAATAAAATTCTATCAAACCGAAAGCAGAAGACCAAGGGAGAAAACTGCTAAAACAAATGACTGGTTCTTCAAAAGGTTAACAGAGCTGCAGAGCGTCCAGCAAGCAGCACTGACAAAGAAAAGCAGGCATCGCCAGTATTAGGGATCTTCAGAGATTCAGCATGAGGGAGTGCTGCTGACAGACGCACACACACACACACACACACACACACACACACACACAGACTCGGCGACTTCAGTGAAGTAGACCAGTCCCTCAAGAAGCACAGAGCACTACAACACGTCTTGTATAAATTCGATCATTTAAATATCCCTTTAACTGCTAAGAGAAAGTGAATCTGTAATTTTAAAACTCTGGGGAAAAAATCTCAGGCCCAGGTGGTTTCACTGGAAAGAACACACACCATTTATACATATTCTCTTCTAAAAAATAGAAAAATAATTGAAAGAAGATCTGATTATTTTTATGAAGGTGTTATTACACTAATACCCAAACTAAACAAAGAGTACCAAAAAGATGCAGAATTTTTAATTGAATATTACCACTCAGCCATCTAGACTGTTCTTAGGATGTGGAATTTCTGTAATGATGCAAGTTGAGGTCAGTAGCACTCGGCCAGCTCATGTGACGTCCTGAGTGTGATCCCCAGCAACACACACACACACACACACACACACGGAAGGAAGAAAAGTAAGTCAATATAACCCACCATATTAAGTCTTAAAAAAAAAAAAAGTGAGCATATTAACGCAAAGAGAGCACTTAGAAAATGAATTATTCATAAGAAAACTCAGAAAACCCAAAGGGAAAAATGTTGTTGGTTTAATGACAAGCATATATGGCAAACCCATTGCCAGTATTACGATTGAGAAAAACCAGATGTCAGCTGTCACCACTGTTAGGAGACATCATGCCAAAACCAGCCAGCGTTATAAGTCCACAGGAAATAAAATTTGTATTTGGAAAGGAAGAAATAAAACTCCCTCTTTGCATATTACATGAGTATATAGAAAACAGTATTAAAAGTACCCCCAAAACCTTACAGATGAGTTCAGTGAGGGTTCGTGGAGGAAGACAGGCACATCACCTCGTTGTATGTCTGTGTGCTAGCAGTGGACAAGTTGGACACCAGCGTTTGGGGTGCACTGTGTAGTTACTCAGAGAGTGGCATCTTAGTGTTAATCTAATAATGGGATTCTGTATGCTGTAAGCTATGAAATGAAAGAAGTCAAAGAAACATTAAATAAATGGAAAGAGTGACCATGGATTGAAAGACTCAGAATAGTTTAAAGTGTCAGTGCTCCTGAAAGGTTTAGTGCGTTTCTTTGTCAAAGTCTCAGTGAGGTGTTCTGTGGATAGTGACAGGTTTCTTTAAAATGTACCATCGTAATTGCAAAGGAGCTGAAATAGCTGCAACATTTGAACAACAAAACTCGGAGGCAGCAGCCTTCGCACTGTCAAGACTTGCTGTCCTGCCTGGGCAGGAAGGGCCGTGCGGTGCTGATGGAGGAGCCCACATGGATCCCTCGGCAGAATGCGTAATCCAGAAGTGGGCCCACCTGGGGCCCGGCGTGAGACCAGCTTGAGACGAGACAGCATTGTTAATAAGTGACACACAAGTGGACAACAATGGCATATAAATTAAGCCTAAACCTCATGCCCTACATGAAAAATTAACTTAAGCGGTAGACTAAAATGTAAAACATAAAGCAATTAAGCATCTAGAAAAAAAGAGAATCTTTGAAATCTAAGTCTAGGCAAATATTCTTAGGTTTGTCTTTAAAAGCATGATCCAAAAATAAAAAATAAAAAAAACTAATAAATCCAGCCTATTGAAATGAAAAAAAAGTTTGATTTATAGATAATTCTAATAAAAGGATGAAAATACCAACTATTAAGTAGGAGAAAATATTTGCAGACCTCATATCTGTATCTTAAATATATAAAGACACCAATAAAAATAAACCATTCAATTAAAACATGGATTAAAAACAAACATTTTGTTAAATAAAATATATAGGGAGTTGTAAATGCACATGAAAATGTATTCAACTCCTTTATCTTCAGAGGAATGCAAAGTGAAATATGAGATGCCGTTGTACCTCCTAGGGTGGCTGAAGTAAGAAACAATGGCAGCAGTAAGCCTTGGCAGCTCCGAGAGGGGCTGGACCGCTAGCACAGTGCTGATGGGAACGTAAATTTCATGTCCGGAAAACAGGCCCTAAGAACTGAACAGAACACTGTTGAGGCCAGCAGTTGTGCGCTTCACCTGCCCCAGAGCAGTGTGTGTGAGTGTTGGTCACAAATGTTGTTAGAACAGTGAAGCCAGAGATGCCTTTCGGTGGCCAGCCGAACATTTCCACGCCGCGCAGCTCTCCTTACTCAGGAGAAGAACCAGTCGTCGGGACAACACGGCAGCCCCGATGGGGATTATGCCCGTGAAGAACACCAGCTGTGAAGGGCTGCACATGGCAGGTCTACTGGTATGACATTCTGGAAGAAATAGAATTGTAGAAAGGAAAATAAATTTGTGGTCCACGAGGACTAAGGAGAGGCTCAGGAGGAGCGAAGAGAGAGCCAGGTTTGTGGCCGTGAGGGACCTCATGATAGACGGCTGTGGTGTTTTAAGTGTTCTGTGTCTCCCCTGTAGGTATCAGCGCCTGGATGTCACAGTGCGCACGTTCACAGGTGTTGCCTTTGATGGTGCTGAGGTGAAGTGTGAGAGGCTCCCTCGCTTGCTTGTCATCACAGCATGCAAATCTACACTCAGTTCAAAGCAAAAGTTGGTTTTTTAAGATCTTGTGCCATCTAAGCATCCCAGCAGCCACCATTGTCGCTGTCTGGAATAGTGCCAGCCGTGGATTCCAAGGCAAGAATGTCAGGGTCTGATTTCCAGTTCTGCTGTTTATCATCAGAGTGTCCTTAGGCATGTCATCGGCTCTCTGTCCTTGGTTTTCTCATTTGTCAGGTGGGGAGTAGCAATTCAGTATTGGCAGTTCCTCCCTCAGGGTCACTTTAAGAATCAAGCGGGGGGGGGGGGGGGGCAGGGAGATGGCTCAGTAGAATAAGGGCCTGAGTTCAATCCCTGGTTCCACAAAAAAAAAAAAAATATCAAGCTGTATTGGGTATATAGAATGCTTAGGCGCTGTTAGCTATGAGTGGTCCAAAAAGTGGCAGTGGTGGCATTTACTAGATTATCTTTTAATTGTCACTTGAGCTAAGAAGTATGCATTTGTATATTTTGTCACTTATGCCATAACTTTAATAATTCAAGAGATTAAACAAAATATTCTGTGTAGGGATCCGTTGGTCTCACTGTGATCAGTTCCACCCATGGAGATATGGTGGCAGGCATGAGAAAGACAGACAAGAAGACAAAAGCTGGGCTAGGTGGTCGCTAGTGTGCCTGATGGGCAGGACTAAGGCAATCACAACAGAACAGTCCTTCTTTCATTCTTCTGCAAAGTTAGTTAACATGTGACACAGGTTGCCTAGCCACTCATAGCTGTCCTTAACCAGACAGGATGTTTATCTCAGGACTAAGGTAGCTTATTTGCTTTAGGCACTGAGGCCCAGTCCCGCCTACCACATTTGATCAATTTCCTAGCTTTCTGCACTCCCAAAAATTCTCACTCTCAAAAAAAAAAAAAAATTTTTTTTTTTTTTTGAGACAGTCTCACTGTAGTTCAGGCTGGCCTCGAATTTGTGGGGATCCTTCGGCCTCAGCCTCGCAAGTGCTGGGATTACAGGCCTGTGCGACCATACCTGACCCAAACATAAAGTTGTTTTCTGAATTGCTTGCTTTCACTTGTCGTTTGTTGCCATCTCTGTGGGACTTGGAGCACGCTACCCAGCCCTGTCAGCTAGTGTGGAGTCCGTGTTCCAGCAGGACTGCAGCTTGTCTGCGCTGCTGTGAGGCACAAGGGCCAGCTGCTTCCACCCACCTGGGATGTTGCTCACACTAGTGAAGGGCCATGCTGTGCCTGTGGGGAGTTTTCGCAGTGCCTTGCCTTTCTGTGTCGAAAGCCCCAGTCAGTGTCTGCTGAAACATCCCATCTGCGGTGGACTCCGCCTTCCAGGAGGGGATGAGTGGCATATTTAGCTTCTCTAGGCTTTTCCTCAGCTCAGATTCTATCATGATAGGTAATTGGGATTGCCGTCAGTTTGTCAGAAGTGTCATTTAGGGCGCTGTGATGAATGAAGTGTGGTAGTTCTGAGCTGCTAGTGTGCACTGAGGTACTGTCACGCTGTCATGAGGGTGCTCCTGTAATAGCGTGAGGGAAATAGCAGCCTTCCTTATGAATAGCAGCATCCAAAATTTAAATCAGAGATGAATTTAAAACAAATTAAAATGTGTTCTTTGGCAAATGTGAAGACTACCATAAGTCTAGGTAAGAGTAGACAGAACAGGCAAAGCCTGTTGTTTTTCAAATGCAAAGCTCGTGTTGCATGGTAAGCTTTCAGTGATTCGGTGATCCTGTCTTAGGTAGGGAAAAATGCCTCTCTGAGATTCCAAGATAGTTCCCAGGCAGGCTGTCTTCTGCTGTGGTTTGCTGTTGGTTCAGGTGTGTCTAAATTTCTTCTGAAATTACTTTCTTTTTTTTCCTTTTTCTTTTTAACTGAGTGTCTTGGTTTTTGTTTCTGGATTGCAGCCACAACACAAAAACAACATCTTGGTTAGACCCTCGGTGCCTGAACAAACAGCAGAAGCCTCTGGAAGAGTGTGAAGATGATGGTAAGAATGGGCAGCCCGCAGGTGGAGTGAGTGGGGCCTGTTCACCTATGCAGATTTAAGGCCAGCTGGCTGTTCACAGTGAGGTCCTCATAGGTTATCCAGTTCCAGGAAATGCATGTGGTTTTCAGAAGAGCAGTTCATTTTCAAGTAAAGGAGGAGCAAACTAGTATCTCCTTGGAGGTAGAATCTGAGCTCAGCAGAAGCTATTCCAATTTGTCCTCTGTGTTCAGTCATATGGAACAGAGGCTAGCATTTGGAAGAACTGGGCACCTGCCATCCTGGCCACGCACACCCGCAGGATCCCAGTCCTGGGTTGTACAGCTCTCAGGAAGACTTTGAGAGCTTTCTTGGCTTCCACATCCTTTGTTACTGTATCATTCCCCAGTCTGGGGTAGGGGAAGCATACCTTGATGTGCTTGGGTACTTCTATGACTTGCAATATATGCATCATATCTGAAGAGTACATTCTTCTAGAAAGAGGCTGAGATGTTACCTTCTACTCACCTCTCTTTTTATTTTGGGAACAAAGTATCTATAAGACTTTTTGTTGAAAAAGTTTATTTCAAAGCTGTGGAAGTTTTAATTACTTGCCCAAAATGAAATTTCAAAAACTGAAGACAGTAAGTCTGTTGCTTTTCCATCTACAACACGTTCTACCAAGATTACTTCTTGTCCTGGACTTACCCAAACGGAAAGGTCATGGTGCTGCTCCTCAGTCGCTGCTGGCATTTGAATTAATAGTTATTGAATACACATTTTTTTCTGTAAGATAAGCTTAAGTTTACTAATTCATCCTATAATGAAGAATTGTTCACACCCATCTAAGGTTTGACAGTACTTTACTGTTGAAGCTTTGTGCTTCAAGGTCGTACCTGGAGTACATGTTTCATGGTGAGTCTTACTTGGTTTGCACATAACATGACACAAGCACAGTGTATGTTCATATTCACCTGAAGGGCTTCATGTGGAGACACACGTCCTTCTCGCTTGGAGGAGGGATCAAGTCACCTGTCTCTTTTGGGCAGTTTTGCCCCCCAGCTGAAGCAGCAGTGGAACCAGTGTGAACAACTGTAATTTATGTGTGTTCTAAACATTTGGAGTCTGTTTAACACAGAATACAGAGTAGCCAGTTTTCAAAGGTCTAAAACTAAGCCATACTCACCTATAAAACCTTATAGAACAAAATGTAATCTTTATTTGATACTGATGATTTTGAAAGCAATTTAATTGTACATCTTAAGATTTTTTTTTATGTGGTATCCAGTATAATTACACTGGCAATGTATGAAATGCCTGCTAAGATAAAACTGTAGATGAAAGAAGATTATAAGAGCTTTTACTGAGAAAACTGTTAGTATTGTAAAGTGTCAAGAGTTACCAGTTGTTCTTGTTGCCAGCTCTTATGATTTTGAATGTTTAAAGTTCTTATCATTTGTGTTAATGTTATTTTCCTTAGAGCAAGTATATATTCATACCAAATGTAGTAATTATCCCTTCAACATTAGAATTCATATATTCTATTTCTAGTAGAGATTATATGTATGTCTGTGTCTGCACACACAAACAGCATAGATCTGTAATGAGATTATGGCAAATGTCAGTGTGCGTCTTTTACTGCCAGTGAGCACAAAGCTGTTGTGTGTGTTGCTTGTATTTGGCCATGCATTGGGATTACATTGCCACAGATGCTGCATTCCTAACTGCAGTTCATGCACACATGGGATGTAGCAGTATAACATCATACTCAATTATTATAAAGACTTGCCTTCCTATTTCAAAAAATGGCAAATTGGCTTTTGGCCTTTGATTTTCAGCATATGCCCTGCTCCTTGATTGTCGTTGTGGGCCTGGCTGTACTAGAAGCCTCCAACCCTGCCTTTGAGCCACAGGCAGTGTTTAGTCTGCCTGATTGAGACCTGCTGGGGATCTCAGAGCCCTCTAATGTGATCTGATTGGGACCAAATTCATGATCTTTCCCAGGAAATTGTCCTGTGTATTTCCTACCTCAGTTGAAGTTAAATTTGTAGATGCTCAAGGGTTTCACTGTTCTGTCCCTACACACCCACTTCTGGCTCGTGAACTTCTGGATTCACTATTTCTAGAGCCATTCCCTGTTTTCTGCACCACCTCTATCATTTCTGGTGTAGGTCACACATGGAGTCTTGCTGTCTTGGCTTCACTGTGCCCAGGGCAGTTGTGTTAAATGCATGCCTTTTCTCACTGTCCGCTCTGAATCCTAGTTTATGGCTCTGCATCACTCCACATGAGCCTTGGGCCCGTGAGGCTGGAGAAGGGAAGCTTGTGTGGAAATGGTTCCTGTGTGCTGGGACTGTTTTCATCTTAGTAATGATATAAAGTATTTTACTGTCAGCAAGAGGAAGTTGAGAATGGAAAAACATTGTACTGTTTTACTTCCTAAAATCACCAAGAACACTCTCCTTGTATTTCTGAATTGCTTGGCTTAGAAATTACATATGTAAAAATATACAGAATCAAGAGACGTTGCTTCCAAGTCCTCCGTGTACATCGGCATGTCAGGGCTCATCTGTCTCTCTCCCCTTGGAAAGCATGCAGCAGTGTACAGGTCACTCTCTGAGTCTGACCTCCCCTCCATGTTTCAAGCTACTTGTAAGTTAAATCATGCTTTAATTGCCTCACTGATTAGAGGATTATTGAAGGATTAGAAGGACTAATAATGAAAGGCCTAACAGCCTTACTTGCTGTAAATAAGCTCTGCACTAGGTGACTTCCCATTTTAAGAACATCCAAACCACAAAGGTATGTGTCAGAGCCGGGGAGATGGCTCAGTAGGATAAGCACTTCCCTGGCAAGTGCAAGGGTCTGAGTTCAATCCCTGGTTCTGCCAAAAAAAAAAAATAAAAAAAAAAAAAAAAAAAAAAAAAAGTATTTGTCATCTCTTACAGCCAGTCAGATCCTGTTCTGACGTGCAGGTACATGAGCCGCAGAGTTATTCTGCCAAAACCAGCTCTTAGTGTTTTATGCTTTACCTTGAGATCAAGTTTATTAGTCAAACCAGTGCAGTAAGCCACATGCAGGTAAGGACAAAGTAATGTGTTTGTGACTTTTTCTGAGGGGAGTTTCCTTCTTGGTGCTGGTGTCTGACTTTTTCTTTCTGTCTTTCCTGTCTCATTCCTGCTGTTCCTTTGGAGAAGAAGGGGTCCACACCGAGGAGCTGGACAGTGAACTAGGTAAACCTTCTGGCAGCTGCTGTTGCATGACTACCTGTATGGTTCTGTCTCCTGTGAGTTGTGTAATCCCGCCTCTTCTTAAGTGTGCACCTCTTCAGTTATGATCTTCATCCAGTTTATCAGTGAGAAGGCAGTCGAATCACCTGTGGGCTGGACTGTGTGCAGCACACAGAGCTGTAATACATTTCATCTTCAAGGAAGGTGTGGATGAATTAGAACCAGAATCACACTAGCGAATTGGGGATGGATAACCTTGTGAAGTGAGGACTGGAGAAGAACTGAAACGGCGCCGCCGGTCCTGTCTCGTGGCCTTCCGTGTGGCCTGGCTGAGCGTCACTTTCTGTTCTTTCAGTGTGGATGGTTATCTGTATAATACTCCCCCAGAGCAAAGCAAACAAAAGTCCACTTGACTAAGAGAACACCTGTTGCAGGAGTAGTTGCTCTAAAATTAATTTCTATTGATTAATTGAATAGTTAATAAGTTCCATGGCCATGTTGTTTCTAATCTTACACTGTTGACCTTGTCCCTAGAGTGTGTTTCTTAGGAACTAAAGGAATGTTTATTGGCAGCTTCCCCCTAAAGCTGATGTATCAGAGTAAGCCAAGTCTCAACTATTCTAGCTATTGTAATGTATGAGTGATTTACATTTGCAGATAATGCCAACATACTTCTTTCTTTGCTATTAGTCTATATTGAATTACATTCTCACTGTGTTGAACGTTGCCATCAGATTTGAACAACACGAAAGTTAGTTTGGGTGCATCAGGTGTAGTCACTGAAGAGCAAATGGAAAAACTACGGCTGAGCCACATTTCAGATTGAAGCCCTGACCAGCTGGAAATGGACCACGAGTTACATTTTCTGAATAAAGACTGCTCTTGACATCAGTAGGAATGGGACGACCTAACATTGAGTTGGCCTGGCACTTTTCCACTTAAGACCTAAAAATATAAATGTAGCTGTTATAAATTATCACTTCTTTTGGTTGCATGTTCTTAGTTACATGAAGAAAATACTGATTAGCTGGAGTTAGGGCACAGCATCTAGTTCTGCTTTTCGTAGTGTTTGTTGAGGAGATAATATTGGTGGTCACGCCCACACGCTGGGCAACTGTTGAGCGATGTGTGGTAAGCTGTGCTGTGGCCCAGGCAGTGGGAGTGACTCGAGGGTCGCCTGTGGGCTACAGCAGTGCAGGGCTAGTTTTATGAAATAAGGATAAATGGTAATTGAAGGAGATGGAGCCAGGCTTTCCGCATGCAAAGCAAATGTCTTCATCAGGTGAACCAACTTCAGCCACCCTTGCTGCCTCCGTCGTGGGTGTGGGTGCCTGTGCTGTGGCCTATGGAGATAGCTCAGTGTGGCCCGGAGCAGCACTCAGTTCCTGTGGCAGATGGAACGCCAAAATATCAAGAAGGAATCTTCTGTGTTTCCTGTAATGTCCGTGACGTGGCAGGAAGCTCCCTGCAGCACTGACAATCAGAACTGAGCGGCAGACGCAGCCACTTGCCTCTTCATGGTCAGACCTGTAATCTAGGGCGATGGCGAGATCTGGTTGTGGAGCCTTTTCTAGGGTCAGATCAGGTTGCTTGGCTTCCCAGGCGTGGACTCTGTAACCTTAGGCCTCCCTTGGCTTTCCTCTTTAAAAATATAAGTTGGAACTGGAAAAGGAGCTCTTTTGAGGCCTGTGAGGAAACTTGAGGAGAATGTGTTATAATGTTTGACTCTGTGATCAGCACACCTTGGTTATGACTTTATTGTTCACCAGTTCTAGCTTGTTGGACTTACCCTTGCTTCCTTCTGATGCTCTAACCCTGGAGCACGGGCCAGGTAGGAAACCCAGCCTGGTCCTGGAAGAACTGCACTTTAGTGAGCTCTTGCTCTCATCCATGGGCTGTGTTCAGGGGTCTTTGTGTCCCCTCCTTTGATCCACAGTGGGTCTTCGGGGTAGACCCAGAGAAGGTGTGGCTCAGCGGTGTGAGGGAAGCAGCCGGGCCTCAGAGCAGCGCCGCTGCCTGGGTGTGGAGGCCGCTTCCTGGGCAATGCCAGTGGCTCACAGCGCCAGCCTATGGAAAGAGCTGTGTGGTCTCCTCTGCTCACTGGGGTGGTCAGATGTGGGCCGTGACTGTTCAGGGGTCCTGGGAGTGTTTATGTTTAAGAAGTATAATGTAATCACTTTATGAACTTAAATATTTTCTGCTACTGTCAGTTTTTTATAACCAAAAGGCAAACTCTAGGACAAACAGCTTCTTTTTTTAAAGCAATGGCCCATTTCTATTTTCAGCGTTAAGAGACTAATTCCTGTTATTAAGTTAATCACCACATTGGAAGCAATAAATCTATCTTTCCATTCAGAATGAGATTTAACTTGAAAAACTGGAAAATTTCTAGAGGCGGTTCATCTATTTCAAGTGTTAAACTGCCCAGAAGTGCCGGTTGCCCGGCCTGTTGTCCAGGCTTCGCTGTGCCTCTGGGTTTCTGTTGGCCTCTACACTGGCACTTACCTGGTGTCCCTCCTGTCTGCCTGCCCTGGGCAGACAGTGACTGATTGTGGCCTTGTGCTTGAGCGTGTTGAATGCGTTGCATCTCTCTGCTGTGTCCAGGGCCCATCTGGCCTGGTGTTGCAGGCTGCAGACTGGGAAGAGCCCCAGTGCCGCTGCTCACTGCGGTGTGGGTCCTTACTCACGCCCACTGCTCCCCAGGCAGACGTGCAATTGGGCACCAATTTGCATTTTTTAAATTTTAAATTTCCTAATTCTTTGGAAATATTTTTTGGTTATTTTCATTTAAATGGTAATTTCTAGCATTGTAAGGGGTAGCCGTTTCCAGGCATGTGATTTGCATTGGTCTGCAGACTCTGTGCAAAATGCAAATTGGTAAGGAGGACTGCATTGTGGACCTGTCCTGCGTTTTAGTAGCTCATGTTTCCTGAATTCAGAGACTTCTTTAAAAGTCTGTTAGGTATTTGTTGTTGTTGTTGTTAGGTGTTTTTCTAAGTAGACAAAAGTGGGGAAAATCTGTCTCTTTGTTTGCAAACAAGTAGCATGTAGAGCAAAAACCATGAAATTACTTGATGTTCACCCAAATCCGAACAAAACGTAAGCAGTGAGTAATCGGCGCGTGTGTGCTTCTGCACACGTGCGCCTCGTCTAAGGCTGCAAGTGGCGGTGGCGCATGAGAGCCCTCCACTCCGGAATGGTCATCGTGTGAGAGTGTGATCATAGGGTTCCGTGATGTCAAAAAAACACCTGCCTCAAAATAATTTCAAGAGTTTGTAGAGTACCAGCTCTTAATAGTTACTTCTAGAAATAATGTTTCACTCTAGAGTATATTGTCACATAAGCTTTCCCTAAATGCAGAGATCAGGGCGGGTTTAAAATCAAGGTCAGAAATTGTTGCTGGGTTAGGATTGTTTTAATGGCACAAAACACCCACTTGCAATTCAGAAAGTAAAACTCCCCAGAACAATGGACCTCTCCCAGTAGATTCCTATTTTATTTTTGTATTTGGTACAGGGTTTCACTACACAGCTAGGACTCATAGTGATCTTCCTGCTTTCAGCCTCCCTCGTGCTGAAATTACAGGTGTGTACCACCAGGCCCAGTCTCTGTGCTGGCTCAGCGCACCTGGGGGTGGGGCTGGCATGGCATGTGGTGCCAGGGATCGAACCCCGGTCCCTGCGCTTGCCTAAACAGGCAGTTAGTCCACTGAGCTATCTTGCCTGCCCTTTCCGGTAGATTATTGTACTAGAAGCCACTCTTCCATGGACTGTGCAGCTCGTCCCGGCCTCTGATGCAAAGCCTTACACAAGCCCTGGAAAGCAGGGCTCAGTACTCATGGTAGCAGCACCCGTGAAAGAGTGGCCTACCCCCATCGGCAGTAGCTGTCAGCAGGGAGGAGGTGGCTCGCCTCACAGGCGACTGAGGAGGAAGATGGACAGGCCGGGACAGAGTGCCAGGTGTGTGCGGGGTAAAGCTGGGCGCTGTGCGGGGATCCTAATCACTCGGCAGTGTTTTACTTGGGAACAAGGAGAAAAGATGCAGATGCTGTTTTCTTGTAAGGCCAACAGAACAGTTTTATTGAAAGATGAAAGGAAGCGTTAATTTCCACCCATTTCTGTTTGTGTGAGAAGGTGGCTTGGAGACAGGATAGAAAACAGTAGACATTTAGGGTGGGAACTGGACATTCAAGGCAAGTTTTAGCTATTTGTATTAAAGTCTGATCTAATAATTAAGAATAAGGCAGCTGCAACTGCATTTATTAAGTTTTAGTTTCTTAAGTAAATGGATGAAGAATCACTTTGCATGGAGAAAAGATGTGCTGAAAACAAATAATGCATACTCCTGCTGGTTAGATGGAAGTAAGGGTTTCATGAGTCTGTCTCTCTTTACCTAACTGTGGGTGGCAGTTCCAGGCTCTCTGAGAAGGTGCTCTCCTTGCTCTAAATGTTCTCTTATTTTTCAGAACTGCCTGCTGGCTGGGAAAAGATTGAAGACCCTGTCTACGGTGTCTACTATGTAGAGTGAGTGCCTGTTACTAGCCCCGCATTCGTGTCTTCCCCTCTGAAATCACAGACTTTTAAATGTGAGGTAGTTCTATGGGATGCAGAGTCTTTTAGGTTGTTATCACTAGGAACATGCATTTCATTATATTTTAAGAGCAAAATATATTTCTTGGGGAAAGGAAGCTTCTGTCTGAGAGGCAGAAGAGGTCCTGAGTGAATTACCCTGGAATTACATTTATGCTAACCAGAACCTGTCATTACTATAAGACACAAACTAAGTAATAGTGCATTCATTTTAAAATGAAAATATCTGTGTCTACTTTAATGAACAAGAAGATACTCAGTTACTCCAAAGGTAAGTCCTGCTTGTTATTAACTCTGCTCCTGAGGACCGGCCTCACAGCTCATACATGCCTTCGTTGTGAGAGTTAGACATAGTCGTGGCATTTGGAGTGCACCATAGGGTTAGCTGAGCACATGGCTGAGAAAGCCCCGGATACAGCAGAGCAGATGCTAGGGATTGTGTACCTTCAGGAGGAAGACCTGCTTGAAACAATCACTTGGAAAAAACAAATGCCTTCTACGATGAAGACAGCTGGCCTGCACATTCTCATGTTGCTGTGGGTGACTGCTTGATGCAAAAATGCCAGGCCATCTGATGCTCTCCATCTCACTTTAATGTATTACAAGTTCAAAATTGCAAGTGTCCTTCAACCTTGCTGACATTGGCTCCTCTTTACCTAACAAGAATTGGCAATTGGCAGGGCAGGTCAGGTTGTTTCTCTGACCCTCCTAAGATAAATTCTTTTGTGAGCTCCCTAAATCGTCTTTCTTACAGATGCATACAAGGTTTCTTTTACTGGATGTTCCTTGTACATTGCCCCTCAACAAGCACTTAGTAAGGAAAGGACAGATGGTTACTGTTTTGATGAGTGGCAAAACTTCGTTTTCAAAGGCCAAGTTGTATGCTGGTCTGATGCCTGTGTAGCAGAAGCAAGGGCTGGGGCGAGTGTGTATGTGCACGTGTGTGTGTTCGCTACGGCTTTATCACTTACCTGGCCCCCTAAAGTAACAGCATTTGCCGTCTCTTCAGCTAAGGACTCTCACTGTCAATTGATCAGAGAGTTGACAGGTATTAGAAGGGTGCTGTTTTCTTTTAACCTTACTGCTTTTTTTTTTTTTAATTTATGTATTTGGTACAGGGTCTCACTATGCAGCTTGGACTCGTAGTAATCCTCCTGTTTTCAGCCTCCCCAGCGCTGGGATCATAGGCGTGGGCCACTACATCTGGACTCAGTCCAGGGGCAGAGCTGGTGCGGCATGCGGGATGGGGATCGAGTCCTCATCCCTCCACTTGCCACAGCAGGTGCTTAGTCAGAGGAGCCATCTTGCCTGCCCCGCCTTACTGCTTTATGATTATTTGTGCTTCGGCAAAACGTATTGTAGGAAGTTACTCAGCCCTCTGGTGTTACCCACATCAAATTTCATCTTTAATCTTACTTCGTAGTAATTCCATAATCTCCTTGTTGCACTTGAGCAGCCACATTTCAGTGTGATACCTTTGACATTTAGGAAGAGTCAGTAATCAAAATTGTAGGATTTGAAAGCAAACTGACCTGAAGTTGCATGTGTATTTACTGTTTGCTGCCTTTTAACAAGGTCAGTTATTAACCACAAAGAAGCTTGCTTTTCTTTTCCGTGAAATCAGTAGTGCCCCTTGTCTGTGATTTTAGTTTTTGGTTTTAGGTCAGGCATGGTTTGAAACCATTACATGAAAAACTCCAGAAGTAAGTATTGGGGAGGCTTCCAGCCATGTGCCGTTCTGCGCAGCAGATGAAGCCTCCAGCCACCCCGCCCACCCAGCCCGGGGGAAGAGCGACCACCAGGTCCAGCGTGCTCGAGCTGTATAAACCGCACCTCCGTCTTCTTGGTTCCCAGGTCGACTGCACGGTCCTTCAGTGCCTGTGCTCAGGTGGCCCATGCGTCACCCCTTTATGGCTGCATGGCTCAAGAGTAGTGGCAGTGCTGGCAGGGGGGATGCGAGCGAGGAGCCACAGCGTGCTTCCTCTATGTGAAAAGTGGAAAAACTTCATTAAAGAACAGTAGTCGTAATCTTCTGAGGTTGCTGAGGTCTGTGGCAAATTGTTGCTGCTAACCCCTTCCCGTGCCTATTAATAAATTAAACTTCATCATAGATCCATACGTATGGGAGAAAACATACCTCCACGGGTCAATATTATCCGTGGTTTTAGGCATACATGAGTCTGGGAGTGTATTCTTCATGAGGGTATATTATTGTTAGAACAAGAGTAAGTCTTGAGTAAGATTAAAACTTTTGAGTAAGAGTGGCCTATCGAGGATTTCCCCCAGAATGTGTGCACAGATGATTGCCCAGTGTTCTGTATATATATAAGCAGGCAGTAGCCACTTTATTTCCTTTCTTAGCTGTGCTTTCTGACACAACCAGATCAGTATCGCTGAACCATATTGCTCTGTTTTAACCCGAGAACTTGGCCTGACAGCCTCGTGCTGGTGAGATGTCTGCTCCATGTTGAAAACCGATTACCTTCTTTCCCAGCCACATCAACAGGAAGACACAGTATGAGAACCCAGTTCTCGAAGCCAAACGAAAGAAGCAGCTTGAGCAACAGCAGCAGCAGCAGCAGCAGCAGCAGCAGCAGCAGCAGCAGCAGCCGCCACCGCCAGAAGGTTGGTCCCTTCCCCTGAAGACATCTGAGCTAGGAACAGTAGCCAAAGATTGGACACTGACACCCCCGTGTGGTCAGAGCTGGCCGTAAAGATCCCAGCGTCCACCACACAGAGGAGTTGCTGTCCTGGGAAGAAACAGAGAGCTTCTGCTGGAGCCTTCCCTGCTCTCCACACCCTGCTCTCTGCTCCCCTCCTGACAGCCCAAGGGATCCCAGTTCATAGGTAGCCATCATCCCGTGCTCCACGTTAATGTGGGAAGGAGCATCTTTAGACTGTGATCTTTCTGAGGGTAAAGGAACTCTCTTGCCTGGGCATCGTTGGCATTGCAGTATCTGAGTCCAAGCTCATGGCCTTCATCTTTACTTCAAGCAGAGTTACTAGGCATGGGGCAGCACTCAATTTTAGGATAGTTACGTGTAATAATCAGAAAGATCTGGTAATTTCAAGTACTTTTTTAAAAGTTAGTTCTAACATTGAATTCTCTAATGCTCACCTCCGTTATTAGAAGTAAACACTGAGAAAATTTCAAGGGATATGCAAATTGCACAGTAACAAAAACATGACTGTACATATATATAATGGTGTGTTGTATATATTGTGTGTGCACATGTGTGATTAACCTGTTTTCAATTTTTTTATGCCAGTTTCAAAGTTAATGTAGATTCTCTCATTCTCTCTCTCTCTCTGTCTCTCTCTGTCTCTCTCTCTCTCATTTTCTTTCTTGGTACTGAGAATCAAACTCAGGACCTTGTGCTTACCAGGCAGGAGCTTGTGCCTCTGAGCTATATTCCTGCCCCTATACCTTATAATTTTTTATAGCTGTATAACATGTCATTTAATGAGTATTTCCATCAGCTTAGCCACCCATTTACTGATAGCTACTAAGTTTTTCCTGAACTTTTTATTGTGACATTTTCACATAATAGATATACAGTTCCCCACGAAATAGTATCTGAGCATGAGTATGTGATGACACATGAGTGTGGAATAAGTGTGCTTCTTGTTTGGGGGCTAGGGATAGAACCCAGGCCTCACGCATGCGGAGCTGTAGCCCAGCCTTGGTTGCTGCGAATATAGCCCTCAGCCTGTAGATTGCCGAGCTGGTGTGAAAACGGGGAATAGCGGACGCGCTGTGGTGCCTGCAGTCACTCTCGCACCTACGCGGCTCTGCTGCAGCAGTGTGGCACCTCCACAGGCAGTTTACAGAGGAGCAGGTGTGTCTCTAGCAGTGAAACTTTAGGGACACTGTGATTTGTACTTCGGGTTAGTCTTCCATGTTAAAAATACTCTTCATTTTTCCAACTATTTAAAAGTGTAAAAGTGATTGCTGACTTGCGGGCTCTGCACATCTAGGCATGGGACCAGTTTGACTGCTAGGCCATGGTTTACCAGAGCATGTGTACACAGCCAGTTTTCTTTAATCTCTCTCTCTCTCTCTTTTTTTTTTTTTTAACAAAGTAACTTTTTTGTACCAGGAATTGAACTCAGGACCTCATATTGCCAGGCAACAAAAGGAACTTTCACAGGGCTGGCCAGATAGCTCAGCAAACTAAAGTGCCTGCCTAGGCAGAGCTCAGCGGCTGGCTAGGGTTTATCCCTGGTGTGCTGTACAGGCCCTGCCCCTGGGGCGCGCTGAGACTAAGATTGAGACTGGGCGTGGTGGTGTGCACCTGTAATCCCAGAAGTTGGGAAGCTGAAAACAGGAGAATCACTATGAGTTCAGGCTGCTAGTGAGACCCTGTAGACTCTGTAGACCCTGTCCTAAATACGTAATAAACAAACAAATAAAAATAAAAAAGAACTTTTGCAGTATACTTTTCCTGAGGTGCTGGAGCTTGAATCAGTAGATGTGGTGTGGGCAGTGGAGTGTACAGCAGAGTCTGTCGGCCAAGTGGGAGATCCCTGTGGCCCTCGCAGGGGTCAGTCCCTGCAAGTCACCCCTGCATCTCCACCTTTCACAGGGTGCGGATCGGATACAGGGCTCCTGCTGCAGGTCTCCCCTGGGCTTTAGAGGCCTCAGAGTTAGCAATGGCAAAACTGTTTGTCCCCCTTGCTCTAGTTCACTGCTGGTGACAAGTAGGCTCTGCAGCCCAGCCCTGCCCCACTGGCCCTCTGCAAGTTTCTGTCTTAGAAGGCTGCCTCCAGGTGACTGTCTTCCTGTTGCTTTTTTATGTGAGTTCACTTTGGATTCTCCAACCAGAGAGCACTGGAGTTTTACTGATAGTGTTATACCATTTCTTTCCCCAGCATCTTAGACAAGAAAAAGGGATGTTGATAGCCTTCACATAACATAAGGTCTGATGTCAGCCTCTTTCCACTTGAGCCGTCTGCCTGGCTTACTGGTTTGGGGAGAGTAAGAAGCAGGTGGAACATGTGGCAGTAGGCCAGCTGTCTGGAGGCAAGACGAGAAACTGTCTCCTTTCTTGCAGAGTGGACAGAAGAGCATTCATCCCTTGTGCCTCCTGCTATCCCGACCCACCCCCCGAGCAACCCGGAGCCAGCCAGGGAAGCTCCTCTTCAGGGTAAGGCATCCTCACTGTCACATCATCATTCAGCAGGAAACTTTCAGCCGCGCTTCAGCCTCGTAGCGTTTGCCCCAAGCCCCGCTCAGGCAGCGGCTGCCAGTGTGCTGTTTGCGCACTGAGCCCCCCAAGCTCTGCTTGCACAGGCGGCGTCATAACCATCCAGTTCTTGTATGAGTAAATGAGATAAGCATGTCATTTTTATATCTTTGTGATATTATCCTGTAAAAACTAACAAAAATACATGCATTTTTTTATCATCCTGTGTTTAAATAGTTGGGCTGGCAGACACTTAGAAAGCTAAGCCTTGTCACTGTTGTCTTTTCTTTGGTAGGAAGAAAACCATAAACGAAGGCAGGTTTAAATGTTCATCAGACATCAGAACAATTAGGATCTTTTCTGAGTAAAATTTTCAGTCATTGTGCTACTTTAAAAATAGTGATCGTGGTTAAATAGCTGTTGAAACCACAGTTTCTCAGCCTTGGCACTGCCGGCACTGCGGCAAGTGGGTCTTCCTGGGGTCAGTCCTGTGCACCTCTCAGCCTCGGCAGCTTCCCTGCTGCCTCGAGCCGTGCGGGGCACACTCTGCACCTCTCCCCTCCACCTACAGCAGCCCAGAGTGTCCCCAGACACAGCCAGGTGCCCCTGGGAGCAGAACATTCCCAGGGTGGGCCGTGACTGATTTGGAGACCACAAATATTTAATACTGGTTAAAGAAGGTGAATTCAAGTGTTGGCCTGAGATGCTTCAAATCCTAGTCAACATATTTGGTTTTGTGCAAGTTTTTTTCCAAACATAAATGTCTTGAGCTTGTTGCTCTGAGTTCTCCTCCCCACTGTTGCCTTCTTCCTCGGTGCTCTCGCATGCCGTCAGTGTCGAAGGCGGTGGCACATCCGCAAGTAGCTGTGCACTCGCAGGCCGCCTGAGTCGCCTAGAGAGGGCCTTTGCTCAGTAGCAGGACCTCCTACACTCTGCCGCAGGCCTTCTTGCTCTTCAGTGGTCAGAAGGGTTGCTGGGCTTTTTCTCCTTCATGTAAGAAAAACAAAGTAAGACTCATGTTTGAGGCACAGGCCAGACAGCTCAGCGGATTAAAGCGCCTGGGGTTCTGTCCCCCATGCTGTGCTCACCTCGCCCCCGGGGCACACTGAGGTGCTGCCAAGGCTATGTGCTAAGGAGGCTGTGCAGGGTGGCAAGCGCCTGTAATCCCAGCGATTGGGTGGCTGAAAACAGGAGAATCACTATGAGTCCGTCCGATCTGGGTAGTGAGACCCTGTAGACCTTGTACTGAATACATTTAAAAGAATCATGTTGGGCAGAGCTAGAAAATATTTGTGGTGCTGAACCATTAACAATAGCCTAAAATCTGTCTTCCCTTTTACATTGTAAATAAGATATAACTATTAGATATAAAACGATATGTAGAAGAATAATCCTTTTTTCTCATTCTGATCAGTTACAATTTTCATGAGAATAAAATTGTCCCTCTGCTAGCCAATATTGTCATTAGATTAGTATTGGTATAGATTTATGTAAAGTAATGTCTTCTGGCATAAAAATACTTTTTAATGGTGGTAATGGCCTTAAAAATATAATATAGTATATTATGGCACTTCATTTAACGTCAGCATGACTATAACCTCCTTGATGCTTTTTAAGTACAAAATGTCTTCTTTGCCTGCTGTCTCCCCTTTCCATGGTCATGTAATCCAGCTCTTTCTCAGCACCTCACACCCACCAAGCAAGGTGTCTCTGGGCAGCCTGGCATGGCTGTTTCCTGTGCGCCCAGGCTGTGCGACCCCTGCCCGTGTCAGGTCATTGGTAGGTTTCCCCATTGTGTTCACTCCCAGCCATTTATAGAAGTTAACAACTGTGGATGCCATCGGTTACTCCATGTTGTCATTTGAGTCTAAATTATTATAGCTTTGAAAATCAGTCCTCAGTCCTGGCCACATTTCAGGAACACCACGGCTGCCTGGCTCCTGTGTTGGACAGGCAGGCAGGGAGCACTTCCATCTCTGCTGGAAGTGCTGTTGGGCAGCAGCAGTCTAGACCATTTCAACACCAGATTCAAGGACAGCCTGGTGTGGCAGGGAAGCAATTCCTGAGGGTGGTCAGAACCTAGAAGTAAGACCCTGACAAAGTGAGACTAGGATGGAGACTAAAATAAGTGCTTTTAAGAAGCTATCCCAGTAACTTTCATACCCAACCAGGTCTTATACCTGCTGACTTGTCCAGAGAGGCTTGGTCTCAGGAACTGTACGTGCACACAGCTGTGGCAGAAAGCTTCAGATTCCACTGCTTATGGGTTTTGGTTTGTTTTCTGTATTTTAGGGAAGGGTCTACAGGGTGTTTAGGGTCTCACTACTAGATCAGACTCTTAGTGACCTGCCTGTTTACAGCCTCCCAAATGCTGAGATTACAGGCGTGCACCACCACGCCCAGTCTCAATCCTAGTCTCAGCGCTCCCTGGGGCTGGCATGGCAGACCCAAGGATGAACCCCTGGCCCTTGCACCTGTTTGCAGGTTCTTTAATCCACTGAGCTATTTGATCAGCCCTTGTACTGCTTATAGATAACAGAAACTTTCTCCTCACAGCTGTTTTAACTAATGACCCACCCATACATAAAAATGTAGTAGAATTGTGTAACTGAAACTCTGTGGCCTTCCCTCTCCAGTTAGGAGTAGGAAGAGAGGCAGTGGTATGATGTCAAAGCTTCCCTCGGGTCTCTGTCAAGTAGGAAACATTCCAAGCCCAAAATATGCTGATGGCTTTAGGGAATCAAGATAAGACGCCCTGCTTGCACCTTCTCCCCTTTCCTAGTTTTGCCTGTAGTGCAAATGAGAAATTCTAACACCCAAACACTTCCTTTCAGCCCTCTCAAAGATCTGTTGAATCATTTTTAATGTTTTTGTTCATTTACTAAAAAAAAAATGTTGGAGCACATACATGTAGTAGACACTGAATGTACAAATGTACAAACAAAACTACTCAGGACGCTTACATTCTTGTGGATTTTACACATAAACACATGCAGTGCGTCTCTTCCCAAGCAGAGGCGACCACTGGACAGAAACGCATGGAGTAAGTCAGATGTATACTGTGTGGGAATTGTGAATGGCAAGGCAGCAAGCAGGAAAGAGGGACTGGATGCGCCCAAGGAGATGTACTGAGCAGGCGACAGACACTAGTGTCTCTGCCTACTTAGTGTGTTTCCTCGTGCGCTCCCTGAACTCCACATATCCTCTGCTACGGAAGTTCAGGCTTGGCCCCTTTGCTGAGGTGAACTGTAGGGTGACCTCTCCTGTCCTTGCTTCCATCTGATAGTTGGGGTGGCCTCTGTGACCCAGACCCTTCCTACGGCAATCCCCTTTGTGCCGAGAGATGACCGCAAGTCGTATCTTTCTGTAGCCACAGAGAGTCTGTCGCTTGCCAAACCTCCCGCCAGCCCTGGGAGTGCCTCATAGAGGTTCCTGAGCAGACCTCTGATGATACACACTTTAAAAGAACCCTCTTGAAAACCCGAAACTTTTAAAACATGCAATTAAAAGTTGTATGCATGCCCAGAGACTTTTTAAGGCCTCTTAGCTACAGCTAACCAAAAATAACCTCTTGCGTGCCAGTCCTGTAGTGCAGGGTGTACAAGGACAGGACTCCCTTTCTTAATTTTTTTCGGGGCAAGATGGCATTTTCGATCAAAGAGACAGGGAAGGTGAAGACTGGCAACGGTGGAGCAGAAGAGAAGAGAGGAAAAGTCTGCAGAGAAATACTTCATAAAGCCCCAAAGGAAACCTTTTTATTTGTACCTAAAATATTATTGTGAATATGTCAAAAATTAAATCTTAGGTTTTATGTTTAGGAGTTACTTAGTTACCTCTTGCTTTGTTTAAGTATGCCAGTTAAGGGGCTGAGGATGTAGCTCAGGGGCCCAGCAACTACCAAGCAAGCCCAAGGCTCTGAGTTTGATTCCACGTACCCCCACCCCCAAAAAAGAATAAATGTGCCAGTTGAATTTGAGACTGTATGGTTCCTATTTGTAACTGTTTAGGTTTAGTTTAGGGGTTTCATTTTGGATTGTGGATTTGTATTGCACTAAGTGTCCTACACCAAGAGTCCTAAGCTTTGTTTGAACAGTGAACCTTAGCAGTGGTTGGTGATTTCAGAAGCAGAAGGTGCAAGCAGGACACTCAGAGTCATTAGAGTTCTGATTTTGAAAATAGTGATGCTGAGTTTTGTCAAATTACTCTCTTTTTTTATGAATTTGGTTGTTACAGGGCCTCACTATGCTGCTCAGTCTTGTAGTGATCCTCCTGTTTACAGCCTGGGTTACAGGCATGTGCCACTATGCCCCAGACTCTGGCCAGCTCAGCCCACCCTAGGGGCGGGTCTGGCTCAGCATGTGGTGCCAGGGATCGAACCGTGATCTCTGCGCTTGCCTAAGGTTGCTTAAGCAGGCACTTTCATCTGCTAAGCTATCTCGCCAGCCCTGTCAAATTACTCTTTGTGCTATTATTACCTGCATTTTCAGTCTGACCATTCTGTTTGATTAAAAACTGTTTTTGCTCAATTGGTCAAGCCCAAAGCAACACATAGGACCCATACTGAAAAATAAAGAAAAAGAACAAATAAAGACTGACTGTTTTTTTGTGGTAGCTCAGTTACTGTCAGGTTGTATAAACTGGAACCAAAACTCAGTGTTATGTTTGGTGGGAAGGAGGCTTAGAATTGAGAAGAGAACCGTGCATGGTGCTGCAGGCTTGAGTGATGTAGCTGTGTAGTGAGACCCGACCCACACTAAACAAAACAAAGAACTAGAACAAGAGAGAAGTATTTGACTTTGGTGATTTAGTTAAAAAATACAGTATTTCTAGAAAACATAAATCAATAGATTTTAAATTAGAAACAGGGAAGAGTGTCACCCATGAGCCAGGCTCTGTCGCCCGTTGGTCTTCTCGTGTACCTTCACGACCACGTGCTGATGTGCCCACCCCACCTTCTCAGTGGAGGCCCTGTGAGCAGCTGTCCTTAGTTAGGAGGGAGGACTTCGCTGAGATGTCTCTGCCCTGCAGGTGTGGAGAGGTAACATGTTGCCTCCTGTCTCCAGGAACCCGCTTTGCTCATGGCTGCGTCCTTTGTGCTTTTTTAAATCCAGGCAAACCCTTTTTTACGCGAAACCCTTCGGAACTGAAAGGCAAGTTCATTCACACAAAGCTACGGAAAAGCAGCCGTGGCTTTGGCTTCACGGTGGTTGGCGGGGACGAGCCTGATGAATTCCTCCAGATCAAGAGCCTGGTCCTAGATGGTCCTGCTGCGCTAGATGGCAAGATGGAGACAGGTAGGGTCCAGGGCCCTCGTGTGTTCTCTGCGCCGAACCATGTCCAGACAGGACCACACAGCAGGAACTCATTTATGCTATTGGAAGGGTCCCTCCATCACAGATATTCAGCCCTTCATTCAGATTAAAACCTTTGACGCTATTTTAATTTTGAGAAATGGTCAGTGCTGTTGAATGCAGTGAAGTAGTAGTTTATTTAAACATGCAGATCCATTTGAATAAATGAATTCTAAACTTGGATCTGTGTACTGAAAGTTTCTTTTTAGAAGAAAGCGCCGACATTCTCTCAGTGATTATTCTTGTTAGCAGAGAAGGCATTAGATGCTAAAAGAATGCTTTATTAACAGTTAAAGGAAGCAGTGGCAGTGGCCTCTGTGTACGTGGTGTGATCGCCCCACATGCTGTTCTGCCTCATGTGTCACATAGCAGAGGCAAAACTTAGCTCTTCCCTCGTAGGGCTTGTCGCTAGGACCAGGAATCACAGAAGACAAATTAGTAGGAAGAAGACTTGGGGCACTCATGTGGAAATGAAAGCCTGAAAATGCTGTGAACGCGGAGCAGACTTGGGACAGAGTTGCGAACTAGGTAGAGAAGAGAGCAGGGTACAAAGGGTGGCTCTCCAAAGTCGCTGTGTGCAGATCCCTTGACTTGCTGTCTCTGATGGTGGGAACTTACGGCATCGGAAGGATAACTTGCATAAACTTCATCTCCTCCCTTCAGGAAGGCAGCACAGGGTCAGAGTGCCTTTCTTACGCTTGCTATTTTCCTGTTCTTTTTTTTTGGGGGGGGAGGGGGGGAACTGGGGATTGAACTCAGATCTTGCACTTGCCAGGGAAGTGCTTATTCCACTGAGCCATCTCCTCAGCCCCGCTATTTTCCTTAGGTCAGAGTAATCTTTATGCCATGGTGGTGTATTTTGGAGTGGTGTGTTCTGAACTGTAGTAGAATGCTACATTGACGTAACACTTCTGGATGCCGCATGTGTTGACCTCCAAATTCTCACCTTTTACAGGAGATGTAATTGTCAGCGTGAACGACACCTGTGTTTTGGGACACACACACGCCCAAGTTGTGAAAATCTTCCAGTCCATTCCCATCGGTGCCACCGTAGACCTTGAGCTCTGCCGAGGTTACCCACTGCCTTTTGACCCAGACGACCCCAATACGAGTTTAGTGACCTCGGTAGCCATCTTGGACAAAGAACCAATCATTGTGAATGGACAGGAGACCTATGATTCACCAGCGAGCCACGGTAATAAAGCAGGCAAAGTCAGCAGCGTGAAGGATGCCAGGCCAAGCAGCCCAGCTGATGCACCTTCCAGCAGTCCCCACGGATACCCCAATGACACCGTCTCCTTGGCTTCCTCCATAGCCACTCAGCCAGAGCTCATCACTGTCCACATTGTCAAAGGGCCCATGGGCTTTGGTTTCACTATTGCGGACAGTCCTGGCGGTGGTGGCCAGAGAGTGAAGCAGATTGTTGACAGCCCCAGGTGCCGAGGCCTGAAGGAAGGGGATCTTATCGTGGAAGTAAATAAGAAGAACGTGCAGGCTCTCGCTCACAACCAGGTCGTGGACATGCTGATTGAGTGTCCCAAGGGGAGTGAGGTCACCCTGCTGGTGCAGCGAGGAGGTACGTAGGGCTCGCTTGCTCTTCACTGTTCTGATCCCGAACCCATTGCCCAGTTGCTATTCTCAGGTGCTTGGTGTTTAAAAAAACAAACTGTCCCTATACAATTGTTTTTATTTAAATGTTGGAAATAGCTTTAAAATGCCTTTCAACTGCTCCAGATGCCAGGGCTAGTGTCCGCATAATGTCCTATTGCCAGCATTTAAAATGCCTGCCTCCTTCTGGGTGTCCCAGGTGAATGCTATGCAAGTGACTGTGGAGATGTGGTCGGACAGTACTCCCAGAGATGCTGCAAGTTTGCCTCCACCTTCAGGGTAATGAAGCGGGAGAGGACCTGTGAGAAGCAGGCTCTTCTAAACCTTGCGACATGAACATGTCCACCACAGGGCCATAATTTAAATGTCTCACTCCCGGGCAGCTTGAGCCACTCGTGGGCCGTGAAGTGGCATGGCACAGTTCCATCGGGTGGCACAACCACCCAACGCGACACTCCAGCTTGGACCACTGACAGTTCAGGTGTGGGGCTGTCTGTGGTAAGCTTCCTTCCTTGCTTCTTCTTGCCTAAACCCCACACCTATCTCAGAAGCTCACACTGAGAAGTGTGCCCCACAGTTCTGAAGTATCTTACTGCTGGGAAACGTAGCCTTGACTGGTCACCTGCGGCCCTTGCCAAAATGATTCCTTCCTAACACGGCACATTTGTGCCATCTGCAAAGAGACCAAGAAACAGACGTTTACTTCCTCCTGACTGCACTGCAGTGGGAGGAGCCCATGCATGTCACAGCCACCACACACGTGCTCCCAGCTGCGCAGTCAGTGCTCACTGCATGTGTGGGAGCACAGCGATGCAGGCCACTGCAAGGAAACCCAGATGCAGAACAACAGTTGATGTGACTCACATGCTCAACCAACCTTGCTTGAGCAGCTGTAAAAGCCAACATGCAGATTTTATGCTTAAAAATGTTCCATTGCAAGTTGGAAGTCTCCTTGTGTACCGAGACCCTGCGGTTCCCTGGCAGTTGGTTCGTAGTGACAAGATACAGCAGAATGACTTGGGCATAAAATTGATGACGGCAGTAGTGATGGCATTGATGAAGACGCTTGCCTGTTGTAGGCAGAGGGTGCCTTACAAGGCACTTTCCTGCCTAGACACACCTCTCCTCTGATTTTAATCATTTCTTCAGGGCTCCAAAGGTGCCAGTCCACAGTAGGGCTAAGAAGTTTACCCTGCTTCTACAGTCCCACTCAGCAATCTGCCTGCTTGGCTCTGGACAGCACTGGCTTTGCAGAGCTGTTCATGAGTGTGGCCAACAGCCTGGACACGTGTAAATAGTCCTGGCACGCCGGGCACGTTCGTGACCCACCCGCCACTCATCTCGGAGTCGCAGGCCATCCTGCGCTGCCCACTTTATGTTGCCGGCAAGTGCCATCATGTGTGGGGGTTTTGGTCCCATCAGATTCATGCAGTGCTGGGGGATTCAACATAGGAGCTGTGCGCCACTGAGCCGTCTCCCCAGCCTGTGAGAGTCTTACTGAGTAGCTCTTGTCTGGAGATTTTCCCCAGAGCCTTGTGCACTCATGCGTGGGGCTTTTGGGAGGTGGCTGGCTTGTGGGGCGTGAGCCACGAGGAGCCTGAGCCCTGAGGAGCGTAAAGCTCAGTGTGACGTGGAAGTAAAACCTGCTCAGGCGTGGCCCTAAGGGTCTCTCTCACTCCTTCTCTCTCTGCCCTTCCTTTGGCCTCACCACCACGCCACGAGGCATGTCTCTGCCTTGCACCCTGCCAGCTTACCGAGGACCGAAACCTGTAGCAGTTGTGGGCCAAGTAACCCTTCCCCTGTAAGTTGTGGCAGCAGGCGTGTGCCCCAGCAGCAAGCGAGTAGCTGGAGTGCCGTGCCGGCCTCAACTCTGTGACCTTCCTGAGGCTGCCTCCTGGTTACCTGGCATCATAGCTAGGAGCCGCGTGCCCAGCTTTGACTCCTTTTTAAGAGGACCCAAAAGTTTCATTATAGCTGACAAACTAAAACTTAACCTGGACCTTACTGTAATGACTTTACCTAAAGTAGCAAGTTATTATACCCCTTTTTGTATTTTCTCTTCGTAATTTCTGAGACCTTATTTCTGTTAATGCTTTTACTTTTAATAACATTCATATGGAACGATTTAGAATATATTGCCTCATTAGTCAACATCTACCTGGTTTATTCCAGAATCTGAGTAATTTAAAATCACTGTAACATCAGCAGTCTTTAAAATATGCTGTATGCCTTGCGTTTGATTTATGTATGGGATAAAAAGTTGGTACATCTGCTGTTGGCAGGCTGGCACTAGCTACTATTAATCTTTGGGGAAGGCATATAAATATATTTGTTTCTGTCATGCATTGGTTGTTTGAATCAAGGCTGACATTTAATCATGCCTCTTGTGTGGTGGGGGCATAATGAGGGGGTCTGATCAAGAACAAGACAGCCACGCAGTAAAATGAGAAAGTGAATGGCCACTTCGCCGATCTCTCTGATGAGTCTCATTTCTGTTGAGACTGCTGGCAAGCAGATGACATACTCATTAGCTCTACACTGTTGGAGATTCTCAGGAGTCCACATTAGGAGACTGAGGTGCACTTTACAAAACAGGTCTTTTCTACTTGGGGGAAGTACTGGCTGTGTTGTATCATCTGCTTTACTTTTTCATCTCTAAGCTTTTCTCTTTTTCTCCCCTACGTATTTGGTTGTTGTAGGGTCTCACTACGCAGCTTGAACTGGTGGTGAGCCTCCTGCTTTCAACCTCCCCAGCGCTGGGATTACAAGCATGTGCCAACACGCCCGGAATCTGGCTGGCTCAGCCCTCCCTGGGGACAGGGCTGGCACAGCATGTGGTCTCCGGGATCGATCCACAGTCCCTGCGCTTGCCTAAGCAGGTGTTTTAGTCTGTTGAGCTATTTCCCTGGCCCCCTAAGCTTATTTTTGATACTTGTCCCTATGAAGGTCAAGCCCATTACCCTTTGTGGTATTTTCAGTCCATGCCTTTGGCTTCCTCCAATATGGTGGTGGTGGTGGAGCATCTTTGGTGGGCTTACGGGTTGGACAGTTTCTGGGCGGGGCGTGGAACTGCCGACACCTGGGGAGCTGAGGTGTCCGACTGGCTCACAGCCGTGCTGCCCATTTCTTTGCCACATGCCCAACCTCAGATGTGCTTGGCACCCATCTCTCCTGTGTCCCCCTTTCCCTCTCAATGGAGAATGATCTTTCCACTTTCATAACAAAACGTTTGCCTGAAATCCTGTCATAGGCATCAGAGTCAGCCTAGAGGCTTCTTGGAGGTGTGTGAAAAATTAACTAGATGACGACTGCATGCAGATTTCAAATTTATGTACTAAACGGGGAATTTCCCTTAACAATACTTAACTTGTTGGAACGAGGTTATGCGTGGGCAGTACAGCTCCCCCCGTGTGCTCAGCTAACTCACACTCTGTCCTTAGAATGCAGAATTCAGGCCAGCCAGGTAGCTCAGCAGTGGCTGGGGTTTGATCCCTGGTGTGCTTTGCCGGCCCCACCCCCCAGGCGCGCTGAGACTGCCATTGAGACTGGGCGTGGTGGTGCACGCCGATAGTCTCAGCACTTGGGAGGCTGGAAACAGGAGTATCGCTGAGTCCAGTCTACATAGTGAGACCTGGTAGACCCTGTAGGCCCTGTCCTAAATGCATTTTTAAAAAAGAGATGCAGAATTCCTGTGAGCAGTTTACAGCTTCTGCCCTGACAGTTATTTCTCTATCCAAAAGCAGGATGTTCTGAACTAGAAAATCTTTCATGCAGCCCATTCTGGCTGACTTTTTCAAATAATTGTATAGAAGAAAAACCACAATTCTGGAGCCAGAAAATGAAATTTTGGATCAAATTTAAATGAAAAGTTTACCGACTGTGTGATTTTATCTTATCGGAGCTTAGTTCAACATCTGAAAAATGTGAATAAGATATGCTTTGCATATGTGTGGTGTAGGTTAGGGTAGCGTGTGTGCCAGTCACTGACATAGAAACAGTTGTCACCTCGTAAGTCAGTGGGGTTTTGCTGATAGTGCTCCTATCAGAAGCATGTGGATGGAGGTGGCGCTTTACTTTCAAAAGAGCACAGCACAAGCCCTTGCAGGACATGCGTTGGCATAATCGCTCTGTATGGTGTTCAGGCATCTCTGTGTTCATGTTAGGGCTCCATTGGTGATTCTGATGTACAGCCGGAGTTGTAGATAGTGGTAGGGTCCTGGCCTCGAGGTTCCCTCTAGTTTTGATTCCATGGTGTAAAGCTTGGAGAGAAACAGAACACTTACCTTCATTTCTGAATAACTGTCTTTTTTCAAAAGTCTGCTGTTAGCTAAGTTTAGTGGTCACATCTGTAATTGCAGCTACTTGGGAAGTTGGTGCAAGAGGATCGTAAGTTTGGGGCCAACTTGGGTACTTCATGAGATCCTATCCTTAAAAGAAAAAAGTGATAGATAGATAGACAGACAGACAGACAGACAGACAGACAGACAGACAGATATAAATAATGCTGGGGATGTACCTGAGCACCCCTGCGCTCAATCCCCAGTACAGGACGAGGAGCGGGCTATTGCTTTCTCTCTCTTTCCCAGTGCTGAGGGTTGAATCCAGGGCTTCCATGCCAAGTACTTGCTCCATCACCCAGCTCCACCTCCAGCCCTTGAAGGCTTTTTTGGTTTTTATTTCCTTCGCCGTGTCGCAGCGCACGGTGAGCACGCCCTCCTGGGGCTGGTGCGTGGGCCTCGCATAGCTCCAGTGTTTTCTCATCTGCTTCCATCCCCCCATCTCTTGGTTCTCTTTCCATTTGCTGAAGATCTGTCTCCCTGCTTTGTATTATGCCTTTTATTTTGCTCTTTATTTGTATTTTGGGTTCTCAGTACCGCTTCTGTAATACCACACCATCTTCAAACCTGTGCGTCTAGTTTATTTCACTTAATGTTATGGTACCAAGGTGCATCCATTTTTCTGCAGCAG